CCCCCTGCCATGTGGGTCCCGTGGCTGTCACACTTGCTGGCCTGGCACAGGCACCGGGGTTTTGCACCCCCAGCCACATTGCATCCAAGTAGGTTTGCAACACCCCCAGCATCCTCCCCACCCCATCCCATCCCACCCCATCCCATCCCACCCCTTGTGTTTCACACCAGCTAAATCCTGCCACAGAATAAATCCTTAAAAATATTTCTGGGTGGGGGGAAGGTAAAAAAAAAAAATAAAAATCATCCTGTGCAGAAGGAGAAAAGCTGACAGAAAGGATGGGGGATGCAGGCAGCCTTCCCCAGGGCTGTTCTACCGCTGGGATCCTCTACGCAAGCAGCGATAAAGCCGTGCAAGGCAGCACGAGCACCTGCCACAGGGTGAACCTCGATTCCCTCTTGCAACACCCCCTTGACATGCACCCATGCCCCCTGCCCCCCAGTCTGCTGTCCCTCAAAAGAAGCCCCTTTCCGCTCAGCCACAGCTCCAAACACACCACATTGAGGATCCCAACATCCCCCAGGACTGCAGCTCCCACTGCTGCATGTCCTGCCTGGCATTTTGCCGGGAGCCAAGTGTCCCTCTTCTCCTGGGAAGCCCCAAGAGCCAGGCCAGGGTTCGGTGGGTGCAGAGGGATGTTCTTGCCAGCGTGGGGCACCTCAGAGCTCACCTGCCTGTGGAAGCGGGTGCCATCCTCCTCGGGGACGCTCTCGAAGTCGGTCACAAGCACCCTGCCCTCGATCTCCCGATGGGTGCTCTGCACGCTGGTGTCCAGCAGGTAAATCTCCACCAGGTCACCTTTATCTACCAGGAACACAGCCAGGGGGAGAGGCAAGCACCACCAGGTCAGCCCGGGCTACCTGGGATGCTCCCAAAATGCGGCTCCAGACCCGCAGCATCAAGGGCTTGGGGGGGATAATCCCATCTCCCCAAGATCAGGAGAGGGACAGGGTCACTGACCCTTCCCCAAACCCCCGCGGTCCTCCCCCTGCACCCCAGCCCTTGCTGGGAGGGCTGTAGGCACCCGAGCTGGGCTGCGGTGACACAATCCTGCCCAAATTCCAGGGGATGCTCTGGGCAAAGACGTAGGCATCCTCTTCGATGTACACCACGTGTGGCAGCTTCAGCGCCTGCAGGGAGCAGACACAGCGTCCGGCGCGGTGG